GGGAATGAAGTCCTAATTTTCAAAATGAAACAGAAGTATATCTTAAACTACGAAAGGCACATTTACTATTAATCCCTAGTTAGATTATATGTGACTACTTAAAAGATGTCTGAGAGCCCTCACGGACAAGAGTAATTACTAGGAATCAGCCCAGGTTCCCTGAAAACAATTGCACTCAACTATGATTATTTTCTCTCTCTCCCTCTTTTAAATAGCAGTAGGATTACCAGGCAGGTAATGATATATAAATTAATAATAGACATTGGGATTTTTAACAAAGCTTATGAAAAAGCCTCTCATAGTGTTTTGTTCACAAGGTTAAGAATGTTCTGGGTGTGAGTACACTGAGGTGGATTCCTAACTGTGGCAATGACTCCCCAAAGGGAGCTCTCTAATGGGCTGCTGCAGGCTCTGCCTTTGATCCTGCTCCACTTCGTATTTCATCAGTGACTTGGTTGCCGGCATTGATGGGAGGCTTCTCACATGCACATATGACATGGAGGCTGGATGGGAAACCCAAACCCCAGAAGACACAATCAGGATCCCAAAAGATTTTGACAGGCTGTAACTGGATGATCTAGAATAGGATAGAAGAGGTAGAATTTCACAGCAACAGTTATAAAAAGGCTCAAAGATATTTCCTTACTATTACCTAATTATGAGTCTACGGTGCTACATGATTTATGATTTTCCAAAATCAAATGCAATCATAAGTCACTTCACAGGAAGTATAAAGTCTAGCATTTCAGGTGGAAATGCCTACGGAGCACAGCCTATAATGTTTCCCTCTTTGCAATGTCAGTGTCTATCTATATAGTAGACCTTCAACAAGTGCCTGAATTTTTAAATAATTTTACTTCGAGTGTCTGAACCATGTTCAGGCAGTTTTCTAAGTGTTTAACTCTATGGTCACACTTCATCCTCATACCAACTCTACATAGTACGTACCCTTATTATCCTTACTTGACCAGTGGGGAAACTGAGGCATAGAGAATTGAAGAAAAGACATAGAGACTTGTTCAACATCATGTGGTTATAAAGTGTTGGGAGCAGAAATTGAAACTAAATAGCTGATGTCAGCACCCACCCTTTTAATCATTTTTCTATACTATTTCCCTGAAAGAAAGGGAAAGTTTCAGCCCTGCTCAATTCTACAGTGTTCAGAATATGCCTGAAATACTATGTGTTGTGCTTTGTTTTAGGAGGAACATTTTAAAAGTTTTTTGGTTCAAAGGAGAGACAGTAGTGTGGTAAGAGAACTCAGAGCCGTGTTATATGAGGAGCAGTTCAAGGAACTGAAGACTAGAGAAGGTTCCTTTAAAACTTTATTTCATACATTTAAAAGGTTATCGTGTAGAAAAGGAATTAAACTTATTTCTTGTGACTTCAGGGAGCCAATTCAGGTTCAAAGGATTTTAGTTGCACCTATAAGAATCCAAATTTCATCACAATAGAGGAAAATCCTTTCTAATAATATTAACTTAAAATAGAATAACCTGCCCCTGGGGTAGTATCTTCTCTATTAGTGAAAAATTTCAAAGAAAGGCTGGACAAAAACTTATTGAGAAAATTTTGGAGAGGGTTTTACAATAGATGTAAAATAGATTTTTCAATAGGTGGTCACTTTTGAAGTTTCTTCTCATCTGAAACTTCAATAATTCTACCCAAAACTCGCGTACGATTTGTCTTCAAGGCCGCAGAAAGTGGTGGTAAAGCACAAGCTTTGGCACTAGGTTGCTCAAGTTCAAATGCTAGCTCCAACCCTCACCAGAGAGATCTGGGCCTCCAGTCCCAGCCTGATCATTAGCTAGCTACACAGATTTGAACAGATAATTTAATATCTATCTGCTTTAGTATACCCATCTTCAATAACAGTAATAGCTATTGTATTTCATATGGTAATTTTATTAAGTATGTTGTTTAAATACATTAAACATATGAAGCTCTTAGAAAGGCACTCCGTACAGACTATGGCAGATCACTGCAAGTTAGTTACTACTTTTATTTCCATTTGTGCTTGAGACTTTCTCAACATCTCTTGCCTGTCACTGTTCAGCGTAAAAAATTATGGTAATTATAGTATCTCCCTCAGAGTGTTATTATAAAGACTAAATAATATATCACAACTAAAACCTTTAGAATAGCACTTAGAACACAGCAAGTGATAAATAAATATTATCTAGTCATAGGAGTTGTGTTTTAGTTTCATCATTATACAAAACAGGGATAAAAAAATAGACTGACCTTATCCCTAAGTAAGCCAAATTCTAACCCTACAATAATGAATGGACAACTTTTGCATATGCAAGTATCTGACACACACAAAATATGGGAGAATGTGTATGGAGAAACTTATTAGTAGAGTTATTAAAATAACTTTGGATGCGATGGCCAGAAAAATTTTTGAAGTAGACGAATCTGTATTAAGTCAGACAGTAAAAGTTACTCAGGAAGGTTAAAGGTTGGAATGTAAATAAATCACTGAATTTAAATGGCAAACACTCAAAAATTGTAAAGGAATTTTGGAGTGAATTTGTCCAACATTGTCTGCATTGTGTAACTGTCTCCCTCAACTGTCTTGCCTCATTTTCTCATGTATAATTTGTCTCCATAAATGTCAACTGGGAAGCGTGTAAGCAGACAGTGGACTCTATTCAGAAAGAGACAAAAGATTTGGAGAAGTATAATTGTAGTCGTGAGTGTCGCTTCCATACTTGGAACACTGAGACGATGAAAGACTGGAACTTGGTCGGTCAGTGCGCCAAATCGATTAAGTGAAAAAGAAAACTGAAGTCATGCATTGCTCATTTGCTTAACTATTTCTTTCTGGAAGTTGAAATATCCCTATAGATAAGAGATAATCAGTGAATGGAATTCATCTTGCTTTTACAAAAGCATCAAACAAACCTGTTTAGAGAGGGGGGAAATGAAGGAGAGAGAGAAAAAAGATAGAGAATGAAAGGCCTGGCCGGTTTGGCTCAGTGGTTAGAGGGTCAGCCTCTGGACTGAAGGGTCTTGGGTTCTATTCCTGTCAAGGGCACGCACCTCAGTTGCAGGCTCGGTCCCCAGCCCTGGTCAGGGCACGTGCAGGAGGCAACCAATCGAGTGTCCACCTCGCTCACATCCACATTTCTCTGTCTCTCTCTCTCTCTTTCTCTCTCTCCCCCTTTCTCTCTCTCCCCCTTCCACTCTCTGAAAAGCAATGGAAAAAATATCCTTAGGTGAAGATTAAAAAAAGAAAATGAAATATTAATTTAGCCTGGAAGAAACGTTTCACCAAGCGAAAAAGAGCTGAATAAAAAGAAAACACAGTGTAAACGTAAGAAAATCCTCCCTTGCATGGTTAAGTACTCACAGTAAAGTAACAGTAACATATGGGAAATTTTTTTTTTCTTTTCAATAAATGATCCGTGCTCAAAAGAGACTGAGCAAAATGATCACCAAAGATGTAAACAACCACTTAATTCTTCCCTGCAATGATACTGAAATTCAGACTTGTTAAAATATTGGAAGTTGGCTGTAGCAGAATGAGAAAGTCAGCAAATCCTCTCCCCAGCAAGCATATCTAACACTGGACAAATTGTCATAAACACACACACACATACACACAAAACAAAACACCCCACTTCACATCTCTGGAAATCAACCAAAGGCAAATAACAAATTGAGTAACATTTATTTGTGAAAATCTGGTAGAACTTCAGTTAAGAGCAGTGAAAGTCAAAGGCACTCTTGCCCATGGGATGTTCCCATGTCCCTCCAGCTTGGCTGTGTGAAAGAAAATTTGCACCGACAGACTTAATTAGGCAAGGAAGGCTTGATATTTAAGACTATTGCAATAGTGGAGAGAGACCAAACTCACCCCTACTGAAACAAAAGGCAGGAGAGCTTTTAAGCACTGGGTGAGCTAGTGGCAAAGTTCTAAAGGACATCAGAGAGGGAAAAGCAGTGTAAGACCTATACATAAAAATTACAAAGCACTGCTGAGAAGAAGTGAGGGTCATTTGAATAAAATATGAGATTGCTCATGTTCACAGATTGGAAGACAATATTAAGATGTCATTTCTTCACAAATTGATGCCTAGATTTAATACAATTCTTATCAAAACTCCCACAGATATTTTTGTAGAATTTGACAAACTTATTATAAAACTTTTATGGAAATACAAAGGACCTAGAATAGCCAAACTTCTTTTTAAAAAAGAACATTGTTAGAGGACTTACAGTTTCCAGTTTCAAAATTTACCATAAAACTCCAGTAATCACAATAATGTGCTATGGCATAAAAATAGACATATAGAGCAATAGGAGCCAATAGAATGTCCGGAACACACACACACTCTTACATATGTGGTCAGTTGACAAAGATGCCAGAGCAATTTAATAGGTACAAATGGTGCCAAGACGACTGGACCCAGCTGGGACAAAAATAGTACCAGAACAATGTTCAGAACAAAACAAGACAAAAATCAACTTAGACCTTTACCTCACACTACATGCAAAAAAAATTAAGTCTAAATATTACAGAAGAGAATATTTCTAATTTTAGCTGAGGAAAATATTTCTTAGATATGATACTCAAAGCACTACATACAAGGATTTATATCCAGAATATATAAAGAACTCTTACAACTCAATAATAAAAAAATCAATCCAATGAAAAATGGAAAATACGTGAATAGCTAATCCGTCCATGGAAAGATGCTCAACAGTATTAGTCATTAGGAAAATGCAAATCAAAACCACAATATGATCCTACTATGAACCCACTAGAACGGTGATCATCAAAGACTCAAAAAAGTGTTGGTTAGGATGTGGAAAAAAAAGGAACTCTCATTGTTGGTGGGAATATAGAAAGGTACAGCCACTTTGGGAAAGTCTGGCAGTTTCTTAAACATTAATCATGTACTTAACATAAAACCCAGTCACTCCACTTCTAGTTATCTACCCAATAGAAGTGAAAACAGACCCATCCAAAGGCTTATAAGTGAATATTCATAGCAATATAATGCAAGAAAATATCCTAGCAAGAAAAGAGCAACACATGTGTGTATCAACTATGAACTGGCTAAGTAAAATGTGGTACATGCATGTAGTACCATTCAGCGATTTCAAAGGAGCTAACTACGGATAGATGCAACAACGTGAATGAACCCCAAAACGTTATGCTGTGAGAAAGCCAGACACAAAACACTACATATTTCATGATTCCTTTTACATGAAATTTTTAGAAAAAGACAGAAAGCATATCAATGGTTGCCTAGGGTTTGGTAGTGGGAATGAGAATTGACTGCAAACAGCCATAAAGAATCCAGATTCTGGTGATGCTTATAATAATCTACAAATTTAATAACTATCATTGAACCATAGAATTATAACAGTTGAATTTTATGGTATATAAAGTCAAATTATTAAGAAACATTTGCAGTATATAAATTTATAAGAATTAGGCAGATTAACTTCATGTGGGCATAATGAAAGAAATTGATTTAGGTTAAAAAAAAAGATGGACTTGAGGTGTTAGCCAGGATGCAGGAAAGAGTAGATATTATTGGAATGTACACATCATTGCAAGCTTTTTCCTAATCAGTCCAAACTATGGAATAAAATGAAATAGAAATTAAAATATTGTACTAATCTAGGTAACACTAAGTAGGTTATAATGAAATCACTTCCTTCAATATTACATGTAAACATCATTTCTGTATGTATTAAATTTATTATTTGTGATTGTCTTTTTGAGACCAAAGGGGAAAGCTATGCCACAGTGGGTGGGTGTTAAATCTCTCCTTTGAAGAAAGGGATATTTGCAATGTCAATTCCTGTAATATGGATGGGCCCTGAGGCAAAAATCAGAATTTGAGAGAAGAGTTTTAGGAGAGGGAAAAAGATCTAGGTTCTTTCTGGGCCTTGATTTTGGAGTCTTTGAGTAGTGATGGAAACATGCAAGAGTAGAGACTATAGAAGGTCACGGACACAATGCAGTTATACTAAAAATAAAATGACTTTGATCTGAGACCATGAAACCTGAAAAGAAATTTAAAAACCAAAACCCTAGCATAATTTATTTGATCTTATTCTCAGGACATGATACAAGTTTAAAATTTAAAAAAAGAGATTTATGAAACATTCAGATTAATTTGTAGGTGGCAGAAGAAATTGTTGAATTGAAATAGCCTCTGTTGGGATAGGACTATGTGTGTCCTTTCGCTCATCGCTTGCTCACCATTTGCTCCCCAATCTCTGACCAGTACATTGCCTGGCACATACTAGATAATCAATGTCTCGTGAAAATAAATGTCCTGTGACATTCGTATCCCTCCTGAATATCCCATTTACTACCTAATATTCCTCCCATATCCCTAAATATATAGCATTTATGTGTTTATTTCTATATAGATATAGTTAATTGTCTTTATATGCTCATTCGCTGGTCCCTGTCATTGTACCTGTAGTTATTTATTGTTTTTATGTGCTTGGTAAGGATTTCTTTATGTTTTTCTTGTAACTCCATTGTATTATAAGTGTCCTAAAGTATCTGAAAATTTGTCATACGATGTAAGTCACTGACCAAATGGAAGGTATTAAAGCTACAAAACTAAAATCAACATTTTGAGGATATCGAAACAACTAAGATTGGATTTTTTTTAAAACTCTATGTCCACTTAATGAGGTATAAGAAAAATAAGTATAAGTGAGACAAGAAATGATCATGTCAAGGTAACCTATGGCTACAGATGTACTTTGTGCTATAATTGGGATATTAAGTTTACTCAGTTAGTGTATTTTGCTCGGCTTTATGTTTTGTTGTTTGAGAAACACAGCATAAAGTAAATTGTAGCATTGAAAGCCAGCCTCATTGCAATTTATTTTTATAGCATAGTGCAAAACAACCCAAGCTGAAAGTACATTCAGGCACTGAGATTAAAATCCCTTATGGTAAGAAAGGAGTTCCATAAACAGATGTGATCATGGATTCTGAGTTTGTTTGCTTGTGGCAAAAATAAAGTACCAACTCAATAAGTTCTAATTTATAGGCATCTACTCCAGAAAGCCTTGGGCACTTTGAACAAAACTGACTAAAAATAAAATTTAGTAAAATAAAACCTAATATTCCCCATTCTCCATTCATACCAAGAAATATAAATTTCCCAGCTGGGTAGGGGAGAGAGTTTTCTAAGTCGCTTCTAGATGCTTTCTCAGAATTGTAGCTCTGCCATGCTCTAGAAGAGAATCTTATTACCGGCTACATTCCTGGACACTTGAGGGTGTGAGGGAGGAGCTAGGTGGCCATCCATCGCCAGGGTTTTCGGTAACCACGGCCCAGCCTTACCTCTGGGCCTGCAGATATGCAGAGCTTTTCTGTTCTCACCCAGAGGTAATATTATTTGCCCCCTTTCTCTGGCAGAAACCTCCTTTTTGTATCTAAGTCTCTCTATTATCTATATCTATCTATCTATCATCTATCTATCTATCTATCTATCTATCTATCTATCTATCTATCTATCTATCTATCTATCTCAATCTATATTTATATCTATATCTATAATCTCCACTGGGCTGGTTCCCAATATGTATCTGAACAGCAACAAATTCTATGATTCTACCATTGGACATACAATATACTAAAAATCCTTATTCATGCAGAATATAAATGATAGAACAAATAGACAGGTGTGTGGGTTCTGGCCTTGAAAAGGAGGTTTTCTCATTGCAGAGCCTTTCACTGCTTACCTCACACTATTTTCTGCCAAGGTCTCACTTGTGAATTCCAGTATGTCAGCAGCTGTCCCCACAAACATAAGGAGAAGTTCAGAGAGTTGGTCCCGAGTGATCGTGCCTCCAATAGGTAGAAGCCATCTTCCAATTATCAGCATTAACAAGAATGTCTGATGGAGTCCCAAAGTCCAGTTTTTCTCACATACTGTAGATAAGTTATTTACAAAAACTTTGGCCTGTTTAACAGAAATGTCACACAGACAGAAAAAAGATGATGGGTTACCAACTTGGAGAGAGATACCTTCACCAGGGTTTGCAGTCAAGGGTTAGCTTTTGTGGATGGTTATTTTCAGAGGATGATTCTTCACTTACTAACGGAAGTAAACTCCTCTCAACCGAATACTCTGAAAAGATAAGAAAGGCCCTTAAAACAAGCAGTCTTATAACTAGAAGTAATTTAAACCTTACACTCACTAATGAGATTCTCCTGTATGATATTTAAAGGGCCAATTTTACAACATTTTAAAGCTCATTCTTCATTTTACTATTCTCTGTAACAAAGTATAACACATAGCAAAGTTTTTAAAATCCTATGTTAAAATAAAATAAAAAAGTCCTATATTTTTCTTTCAACAATTTTGTCTGAATTAACAAATCTGGGAATATCTTAGCATTGTACAAATCTTCTCCTAATTTTATTGCTCTAAAACAGTACTATATCAAATGAGAAAATATATAATAATGTTTATTCGTTACCTAAATATAACTAAAGAGAATAACTGTAAAGTTATTATTTTTATTCTGAATATTTGCCATAGTGTTCAAAAGTTCATAAGCTAGGAACCGCATTTTATATTGCCCTTATTGTTGGGCTGTAAGAAAAATTTACACCCCGTGTATGTATTCTGGAGGACATTTCCTGCCCACTTAACTTCTAAATAAGTTTTAAAGTATATCACTGACCCTATAGGTTATGATCTTTTAGAGACTACAGGGCATAGGTCTCAAGTGGATTGTGTAGTGACTCCGACTGATTTATGCAAGTAACTTAACTATATTTGTGCAAATCCACTTATCCCTTTAGATCACTTGCTGATGTGCTAACCTGATCAAAGCCAAGCATGAAGATCAACAATCTTTCATTTGCATGCTTTTTTATATTTCTTCTATGAGAATTCACATGCACCTTATTTAATTCTTACAGAGAGAATACTAGCAGGGGATATATTATTTTCAATTATCAGATGAAAAACTGAGCTGCATGACATAAGTGATTTGTTGAAAGTGATATTGGTAAACTGTGATTAGAGGTTATATTAGAACCCAAGGCTAGTTCTATTAAACCTCATAGAATCAATAGCCTATCCTATTGTTGAAAACATGTTTTAAGGGTAGGGGCCTTTGCCTTGAGTTTCCCCCATATATTATTTTTTAATAGGCCATGGTTTGCCAAATATTAGGCATATGAAGAACAAAGAAGTGATTTGATTTTGGCTGTAAATCTTCCTTATTTTATTAATATGAACACACAAAATTATATAAGGCAGATCCCAATCTTACAACATTCCTTAACAAATATACATATCTCTCTTTATACATATATTGTCTGACCTAAGTATTAAAGGTTCCTTAATGCTCTAAGTTAAATATATATACTGAGATTATATATGTGTGTGTGTATATATATATATATATATATATATCCATCCATATATATATGTTTATTATGCATGTTAACTATGTTTAGTAAATATAAAAATACAATTATTTTGCAAATTCCTAAGTCAAACAAACAACGGGCCAATTTCCTTAAAAAAGAATGAGCTGAAAGGTGTGGAGCACATTTTCCTCACGGAGGGAAAAGCTTGGCTAGATCCTGTGGGAAAAGCTCTCACCGTCTCAATGAGATTATCCCCTCCACGGGTTTGTTCACTTGACATCAGAGTTTGATTGAAGTCTTCTTTGCTGCTGCTGGTGTTCTGTGACATGCCTTCAGATTGGCTACTACAATACTAAGAATTTTGTAAAAAGGAAATACATCAAAAAAATACCACAAAAGGTAGAATTGAAAATGGCTTCAATGTATCTAAGAAATGAGCAGATATGTGATGTTAACTCCGTAATAAACATATATGGAGTTTAATGTACAATATACATAAACATTTCCAAAGCTCAGATTATATGCTTGAGATAGAATACCACTTTTTAACTGATTTGAGAATAGTCTACTACATACATGTTGTTCCACAAGTCTATGAGGATGCTGAATGAGTTCACTGTAGAGAGCTGTAGAATTTATATAGATTGATCATTGGGGTTCGGTACTTGAACTCTGGGACAATTGTCAAACAAGCCAACAACCAATTGTGGCATTAAAATATGTATGATCCAGGTCAAAGCATTCGCTCTGAGAGCTTGTTTCTTGTCCAGATGTCCCTTTATCTAAAATACTATTTTGCTTAAATAGATGATTCAATTATTTTCAATCTTGCCTGTTAAGTACTGTAACAACCAAAAAACTTAACATGTTTGTCCACAAAAATATATAATTAGTGCCAGTTTAGAAGTCAGTTTAGGTTTATAGAAAATCTGATAACAGACCTAAAATAAATGATTTTTCACTTCATTTTGCATGGAAATCTCTGCAAGTGAGCGGTGTATGATTTTAATCGAGCCAAACGCTGGGAATCCAAGGTACAGAAGGAAAGTGAGAGAAGAAAGGGGTGGAACTTGGTGCAAAAAATCATTGTATCAATGATTATTTCAGAAATGGGTAAAAAAATAATAATAAGGTTTAAGATTTCTTTAAACAGCTGCAGGGCTAACATACTTTTGAAACACATACCACCACCACCACCATCCATCCATGATCATACATTTGGATTCTGAGAGAAACTTTTTTTTTTTTTTAATGCTAAAACTATAAGAAGTGTATTTTTTTTAATTATTCTGGATACTTCATTGATCATTCTATGAGCTATTTTAAAAAGTAGAAAAGAAACCCTGTCAAGTAGCTATTTTTTTCCCATCCTCCATCAAAACTACTAGTGTTATGGGTGAAATGACAAGAATAATTAAGAAAAATGGCCATGTGCCATATCTCTAAGAGCAAAATACAGATTCTTGCACACTTTTTTTGTATACCTGAGGCTCCTAGAAAAGATAAAGATAAAAAATCAAATCTCTGAACCAAGTAACAAATTCTCATTGCAGAGTAGTTTTGTGATTCTAGCTAAGAAGCAAATGGTCAAAAGGGAACAAATGTTCACCATTTTGTTTGTAGGCACTAAAGCAGATTGTGTATTAAAAGTTGTGATTTTGATATGTTTTCTTATAGCCTTATCATTAAAAACCCATAGACCTCCTCTTATTGTAAAGAAAATTCACCTGCACTGCAGTATAACTTGGTAGCAAATAGCTCTGTCACCCATATTACGATGATACAACCTACCTGTGACCCTCTCCACTCTTGTAATTCTATCAATAATACATCGATGATACTTTCCCTTAAGTGGCAGCTGCCTTAGGACTGCAAAGAGCAACTGGTTTTTGACTCCTTAAACCTAATCTGACTTCAATGGTTTAATGGTAATATTGTTTGCATTCAACATCCTGTAGGTGAGTTCATGTAGATGACCTGGGTGCCAACAAGCCACTTTTTTATGCGCTATGTCTTAAAAACTCTTATTAGCTTCAAAAATATTCCTTTGGGTCAGCCCAGACTGACACCATCGAGCCCAGCAGGTTTCCATTGCTTTGACTGTACCACTTCATAAATAAACCTAAGAGCTAAGGTCGTAATTGTTGTCATAACTATTTTGTTTCCGTGAATGCAGACCTTGCCAGATTTGGGAATGAAAGTACATAATTGATCATCTAGGAGAAATGTCTGCATGAAATAGGTCAGGATGCTTTCCTAAGGCCAAGTCATAGGTTAGAACATTTAGGATTCAGAGTAAATGGAAAAAGTGAAAGGAAATTAAATTACTCTTTCCCGTCATGAAAAATTTAGATGATTTTGATGCTAACTCCTCTAAAACGTAGAACACGTAAGTGAGAAAGGCAGCGTGGTTAACCGAGTCGGGGGTCAAGTCATAGGTTCTAGGCCCCCAAAAGTTGTTGATTAACTGTGTGGCCTTGAGAAAATTACTTAATTTTTTTGAGTCCTGGGGTCCTCTTCTATAAAACAGAAATGTATATACCATGCCAAACTCATGTAGTTGCTGGGTTTATAAGTGAGAAAACATATCTGAAAATACTTTGAAATAAACAGGAAACATTATTATTAAAACCAAAATTTCCTAAATGAATGGATAAAGATAATTGTCCCCACCCTGCCCAATTCAATCTTTGGTTATTCATTTTAATTCTTTTGTGTCAAAATGAGTCAAATTTATTACTAATAAAGGTCCAATTTCTTCTGTAGTAGGAAAATTAGAGAGGTACTGCCTATGGCTCAAAAATTATTTTTTTATTAAAAGGAGAGCTTTTGGTTGCAGGCTATTTGTTGTAATGGAATTTGACCTGTATATCAATTAACTGTGCCACACACTTACGTTATAAAAGCATTTGGGGAACTACATTGTTATCGTGGATGACAGCTGTGTCATAGTATTGGCTGTGAAGGGGGAAAACAGTGATTCAAATCACTAGAGCCTATTTCCATACCCCTAAAAGTAGCAAGCAGTAAGGAAATTGAAACAATCCTCTAACTCCCTATGGTACAGTTTTTAAAAGCCATGATAACTTGAATCAACCAATCTACTGTGACAGAAATGTGTTTTGCTACAGAGATAGAGATATCCTATCACTTCAAGATTTTTTAAATAGGAGATTTAGGGCAGATAAATGTTTTCTTCATGCCTGTATTATTGCGACATGCTTGTGAAATTCTTCACAAACAATCCACAGAGCTACATTCCCATGTGTGTGCCTAAAATTTGGAGCAAATATTTTATCTATAGGTTTGAATATCTGAATCATATATAGGGGACTTAGCTATAAAATGACCAACTGCAGCAAAGAAGTCTGCATAGGGGCAGATTCTCACAGATCTTACCAAAATATTTTATCAGTAAAGGTAATACAATATTATATCATAACTATGGTTTATCCTTAAGACATAGTCTTGTAACCTGACCCCTGAAGGTGTGAAGTCCAGGCTGGTGTCTGATGGAAGTTACGAACCAACCTCCCTGCTGCTGTGCAGGTGCAGTAACAACAAGAAATGGCTGAATCCAGCCTACAACCTGCTACCTCGGGTTGCCCAGGTAAGAAGCAACTCACTTAAAAACCAAAACCTCTCCCTATATAGAGATCGGGGTCTCTTATTGAAAGCCATTGTTTATTTTCCAAGCCAATGCGGCTCTAATACATGTAGAGTAGTCCACATTTCCTGATGGTGGATCTCATGACTCCTCTCCTGTGCCCTTATTTGGGGGCTCTAGTGTAGAATTCCTATTCCACTAAAACAGCTCATGGGACCCTCGAAAGTGAATCTCTTGTAATCTGCAAAGCCTGTATTTTAAGAGTGACAATCTCAAATAGTCCCTCCAAGCTTGACTGTATTTGCATAGCACAGTACAGATGAAGGGGTTCGGTTTGGCTCTTGCTGTTCCTAAAAATGTCATTGTGTAGGGTGCTAGATTATCGAGCCCTGCCCATTCTTAGCCCCATAAAGAAACTCATTGATGCTGCGAGGGTTAAAAACAACTTTTTACACCCCCATGTAAATTCTAGCATATTGGGGGGAGGTCTTAGGAACAAAATCTCTAACACAAATTGTTACTGAATTATATAACCTTAAATCTTAAATGAATGTAATATTTTAATTGGTTTCAACAGATCATGAATTTGCTTCCTTTTGCTGATGACCTCTTATTTATTCAATTCTTGATAACTCCAGTTCCTTAGAAAAGTGTATTTCTGACATAAATTGGATTACAATATGAAGGTAATTTATTGCTGAATATTCTACTTTTCTACTTCCCAAAAGGATGTACCTGGTTGCCATGTTGCACTTCAAGAATCCATAGTGATGGAACGATGTTAATCAGATATACAAATATAGCTGGTGAAAACCTGTGAAAGACGGGGGGAAAGGACAGTTCAGCTTTTCCTGAACAAAGGATTGTTTTTAAAAATATATATATTAAAAAGAAAGAAAAATAAATGCACATACCCTGACCACAGTGAGTCAAATCTTTTTATCTCAAGTGTTTATTTCAATGGGGGGAAAAAAAAGCACTATGTGATTTCTGCCATATGGATTATAGAGAAACAGAGTAACTGTAAAAGGCACTAGCAGCTGTCATTCTCACTGAATTTCTAATCCAATTAATAGATGTTAATTTTAATATGGTTTAATGAGGCACTGCCAATTAATTTTAGGCACAAAACTGGTTATTTTGTATTTAATTTTGTTTTTAAAAAAGCAAATACAGAAATAGTAAATCTTCTTGGATTTTTCAGCATTACAATTTCAGGAAGATTGGCTACATTTTTCAACATTAACCTGTAATTCTGAGAGCTCAAATAATAACATCCTGCTAGAACACAAAAATCAGATGATAATGAATAGGAATGAGCTAAATCAACTGGCTTTATCTGTGTCTGCCAAACCTACTAAAAATGAAAATACACACAAACAAAAACAGAGGAAGGGTTTGGGTTTTTGTTGTTTTTCTTTCCAAAGGCTATATTCATTATTTTCTGGCTCAAGTCAGACACACTCAGGTTCAAATGCCAGTTTTGCTGTGACCTCTCAGTTTACACTCTAATCCCCCAAATGAGGATAGTAACTGTATTAGTCAGCTTGTGCCGCCATAACACATAGACTGGGTTGCTTGAGCAACAGGAATTCACTGTCTCTCAGTTTTGGACGTTGGTAGTCCAAGATCAGGGTTCCAGTATGGTTGAGGTTTGGTGAGAGCTCTCTTCCTAGTTTGTAGATAGCCACCAAATTGCATTTTATTTTAGATTGTACTCTTATAGACCATCTCAAAGTCAAAATTGTAAGTAAATGTAATTTTATTAAAACACTTGCAGTTCGCACATGTGATGGTTAAAATGATCTGAAAGATAGAAATGTTAATTGCTCAACAAGCAGAATTATTTGAGATTTAGTGCTACCAAAACTGTACTATTATAATTAAGGAGAGAAAAGTGAACAATCCTAAATGGAAGAGATAATTTAGAATGAACTTTTTAAAGGCTTTCAACCCTTTCACTAACATCTCCTTTTAACTTCTGGGGAGAGGAAGGGAGAAAAGTAAGAGAAAGAGCTCTTTTTAAAAAAAAAATCAATAGTTAATATAGATACTCCTCCACCTTTGATTTCTTACAAAAACCAATTCTGAAACAAAAGGTTATGGATCACATTATTAAAATGTGACTTGGAAGATGGTTGAGCTACAGAGAGATATCAAAAGCTCCCAATTTGAACATACTCTTAAAAAGAAAAGAAACAATTAATTTTTTGACCTTACATATCAAGGGAAACATCAGGAGAGAGTATTTCCTATGTGAGATTAAGAAAGGAAATTAATTCTAGTTGGAGGGATGTGGAATATGTAAATGTTTGTTTGGATCCTTCAAATGTTGGCTGGACTGCAATTTTGTTGACTCCCTTAGGATTGATTTTAGGATTAACTCCCCTAACAATAGTGTTACAATAATAGTCTAGGGAAACCATAGACTGAAAATATAATAGCTCTCTAAAGAGGTTAAAAATAAAACAAACAGTAATAACATTTCTATGCATCAGATTTTCTATAACTGGAAAAAATACTATCCTGTTTTAATGTATTTCCCCTAACTAGGAATCTAGTTGTATTAAAAAAATAAAAAAAGTCAAGATCCCAAAAATCTAAATTCCATAATCTGATATTCCCAGCTTCCATTATCCCGCCTTGTCTCCACTGCCCCTTCCTCTTCCCTTGCCACATCCTATCAAGCTGAGCTACTTGAAACCTGCTGTGTAGTTCCAACCTGCTGTGTATTTCAAGCAAAACAAAACAAAATGTTTTGGAAAGTTCCTCTTACTTCAGTTCCTCTTCACTAGACTTATCTGACATAAGTGAAAAGGGGGTAGAAAGAAGGAATCACATGGAGGGACCGAGAATTAATCATATTCAAATCATGAGAGCCTGAGTCCATAGTCTTTCTCATATTTCCCTTCCTCTTAGCCCAACACCCTAGAGGATTTCCTGGAATTCCAAAACGCTTCCAGATAGAGTTACTAATGAAATACGTAGTAGTGCCACATACTGATCAATAGCAAATCAGAATCAGGAGCTCCCCTCTCTCCTTCCTCTCCCTCTAATTTCCCAGTAACGGGCTGTGGCACTTGTACCACTCAAATTCTCAAAAAAACTTATGGAGAAAATAAAAGTCTCTATTATCTAGAGAAGTATTAAAGTATTTTATTTTGGCTATGAAGATAGATTTCAGCCATATATAAATGTTTGACCATGGGTTAAGAACGAAGTGCTCTGTGCTCCTTCAGCTTGGAAAATCTGAGAAGTTCTGAAATGGCTTTAGAGCAAGTGGCCCTCCAAATTATAATTACCTGTTTCGGAATGCCCTCCTTTCACATCTAAACCCATCAACATCCTACCTGTATTTCAAAGGCATACCAGCAATTAGCCTTAACTTGTATCTCTCCTGGGACCCAACGCATGCTCCACTGTTTGATAGTTATGGGTAAATGAAACTTAGTTTTCCTAAGTTCCTTGGAGGCAGATCCTGAATCTTATATCTTTAATTCCCTTCTGTCTTCCCTTTCCTTCATCTTTTCCTCTCCTCAGTGGTATCAGGTGTCTTACTAAGTCTTTAATTAATGCTTATTAAGCAAATACATATTTGCTTAAATGCCCGAATTTATGCATAAGGGAGGACTGAACGAATGAAGTGAATGGAGGCTACTGGCATCTACCAGGACCTTTTATTCCCATCTCAGGAGGTCCAGTGCCAAGTGTGCTCCTTACTTTGTCCCTTGAGGAATTGTCACACTGCGGTAGAGGCCCAAATTTGAACCGTGCCTCTTCCATTCATTCATCTTTGGAGAATCACTAACTTCCCAGAGACTCAATACCCTTGCCTATAAAATAGGGGTAATAACATCCGCCTCACGGGGTGTGTGCGGATTAAATGAGACTGTGAGTTAGGGCCTGATATTGTACATGCTCAGGACGCAGGGGCTGCTGCCTTATACAGGCTCAGCTCTGCACGTCGGGGCGGCTAAAAGAGGGCCCGGAGGATACCCCTTTAGAAGACGGCTGTCTTCCAATAACATAACCGATTCTATTTTTAAACTATGATTTTCAAAACTAACCCTATTTAAGGCTCCTCGAATCAGGGGAAGTTGTGTGTACTCCTGAGAACATCATTATGCCTAATTCACACTCGCAGTTAAAGCAATTACCGCCTGTCCCGTGGCCGCGGTCTGCACGGCCGTTTGCCCACCAGGACCTAAAAAGGCTGCGCCATCCTCTGCCTGCCTCTTGGGCCGTTGCTCGCCACTCGTCCTCACGGTGCTCCTCTAGCAGTGCTTTTCTTTCAGTTCTGGATAAAGCTAAGTGCTTCCTAACTCAGGCCTTCGCTCATAATCCCTCTCCCTTGAAATACCTCCCTCCCCTTTAACCTGATTAACCCCATGCCCCGTCTCATGGTTCATGTCAGCTCTATGGGACTCTACAGAAAAGCTTTCCTCGCCCCTGAAGCCTAAGTTAGATCTCCGTTATGCTTGTCCCATCGCACTCTTCACTGTTACCCCACATATTTTCAAAATTTAAAATTATATGTGCCTCCCAGCAATTCCACGTAACTCGAGCACAAGGACCGGGTCTGTGCTCCCCCCCCCAGCACCACACGTGGCACATGGTGGCTCCCCACAGACATGCGGGGGTTGACAAGGCCATGCTGATTCACAGGTCCTACTTTCTCACCACTCTGCTGCTGGTTTCACGAGAAGCCTCTTCTTGAAATATCATCATAAATCGATATTATCAGAAGTGTTATGGAAGGAAACTAATTATTCTGTTCTTGTGTGGATTTAATATTGTTTCACTGCTCTGAAAAATGTAATATTTCAAAGTGACATTTTAGCCGTTACTTATTATTTTGAAGGTTTGCTGTATTTTTGATTGTGCGTTGTCAGTGCAATTCATTTCTGGAACCAGAGAGAAATATGAGGTCTAAAAATTAAAAACTAGGCCCAATTCTACCTTGTTCTGTGTAACTAATGAAACCAGAAGCCCTTTCTCAGAAGCTACCAAGTCATTTTACTCAATCTCCCTGTCTTAATGGCATCAGAAGTAAATAGATGCCACGCATTTTGTATGGAGACTAATACCGTAGATGAATCTAGCTAACTTGAAAATAAATTAGGTTTCTGGATACTAGTTTATGAAAATAAGACATACTATTCATAGACTAACAAAAACTGATAAGTGTGTGTGACTGAATAAGACACAACCAAGTGGAAAATATTTACAAAATTGAGAGTACCCTATTACTAATAAGCTTTCTGCCCTTAGAAACTCAGATTTATTACAATGCCAATTATCAGTATCTTATCCGAATACAGACGGTGCCCAACATTAATACTTTAATGACCAATTACTTTGCTTTGCTCAGACATTTTTTCTAAACTAAAACCTTCCTTAACATATTCTTTCTCTACACATAAATTTTTGTTTGTCTTTTATTTCACAGCCCTTAGCCAGAATACCAATTCTCTATAAAGTACCCAGCAGGAGCACCATCTTAAAGGGTTTTTTTCTTTATTGGTTTATGGACTAATTTACTAATAAAATATATTTATAGGTCTTTCTACATGCTAGATACTGCTCTGAGCTCTTAAAGAGCTATATTCATTGTATTTATTTTCAGTTCATTTCATGCAAAAATAAAATATTCTTTATCCTACAAAGTTGTCATTTCAGCAAATTATAATGTTTTTCACAAAATGATTATGTCATGACATTTAGCAATTCAGCCCTGCAATGAATTATATTTACTTCAACTCACAATTAGTCTGGAATTAGGATTCCATTTTCATCCTTTTAAAAATGACAATT